AGCAGTACAGTCTGTTGAAGGTCTTGCAATAAGCCAAGGCCTTCAGCTCTTGATTACCAAACAGTAATCTAACTCCAACTTTAAAACTTGTATAAGTCTTAACCAGTACATCCATATTTGTTCCAAACCCAAACATAATATATTTGCCCTTGCCTGTGGTAGCTTTCATCTTAGCCAAACACCTGTTTGGAACTGAGCAATAAGCAGGCATTCACTCATTCCTTCTACAAAACTTAGCCCATCCTTTCTTTTAATCTCGGCTGTAGCCAAGTTAGCAATGTCTGCCAAAATTTAAACACAAACAATTTTTTATATTGTCATTGTGAGAAAACAGAACTTGTATCGTGCTTTGTTTTAATTTTCTTGGAAGGCCCTGTGCAGAGGGGTGTGAGATGAGCAGTGCTTGATTGGCACAATTGGCCATGGACCTGACAAGTTGATTAATTTACATCTGTAGGGAGGACAGGCCTGACTCGAAGGCTGGAAGGGATACATCCTGTCCTTGTCTGCTTGTCATCAAACCCAGGCGTCTAATGGCTCCATGGCCAGGCTGTGCATGACTTGTGAAATGAAGCAAAGGCTCCTCAGTCAGGTTGTGTGGTAAAGGCCAGGATCAAAGCCTGTGTGACATCATCTGGTGATCTGCATATGAAGCAAACCCTGGGTGTTAATGAAGCCTGAATTTACACATGAAGCAAGCACTGGCCATCTCCCCTACCTTTTTCCTAATTAATAAACATTATTACTCTGTTAAGAACCAATCAATACACTAGTTAAGACCTAAGTCCCACCTCATCAACAGGTATTGTATTAGTCTTTGAGTCTTTTATTCCAGGTGAGAAGATCATCTCCCTTGAAACACATTGACGGCCCTGATTCACTCTTCTTCCCCCAGGCAAGGGCACCTCCTGGTGAGGTATCAGGACTCCCACCTTTTGGGTAGGGGTGAAAGCATCCCTGGGTGTATTGTGTACTTTGAATTATTATTGCTGCAATATTAACATCTATTTGTAGCTCTGCTCTCGTCAGTGCATTTATCAGTGGTTATCTCAAACTTGTCATATCTGTTGCCTTAATAAATTACCTTGCATTTATATGTAACTACTTCATATGCAGGACTTTGCTAATCCATTCTCATGGCAGGCGTTCACCAGAGGGGTTCAACAGAGTTCCCCTCAGCCACACATCCGTGTCACACTGATCTATTCAGTTACATGTCCTTTTTACACCCACACCTCTACACCCCCCATCCCCAGGCCTTCACATAACATGTCATAAACTGCATTTATTGTCTGAGACCTTGAATGGGACCTTTCATTGGTAGAAGTGACAAGCATGTGATTGTGTTTGTGGCATATGTGCTTTATTAGACTCTGGTTATGACTGAAAATGGGAAAGAGGTTAGGTTCAGTTTTGAACTCAGCAAGGCTTGAAGATGAGTTTCATTCCAGGATGCTATGAGGTCTCCAGGAAAGCGATGGAGGCTGATAATCTATTAAAATGACTGGCTGGTCACTGTTCCTGAGGGTTTTAGGGAACTTGTTGAAGAATAGTTTGTAAACATATTTGGAGTTAGGATTTAGATAAAGTAGCAACAGGGGGGGCTGTTGTAAACTGCAATGTCTGGCAAGGTCTGCATAACTTAATAAGAAAAAACTCCAGCCTGAGAGACTCCTCATTACCGTGCAGTCATTGTGTTTCATTAAGGCCTGTGATATTGCTAGCTGAGATTAGTTTCCAGAAAAGCAGAGTAGAAGACTGTGTGTACTGATGGATTGTAGTAAGCATGAAGGTAAAAAAAATAGTTTAAAAATTAATTTGGTTGTAAGTATATGTGATAGGGTCTTCAGTTCCAGTTAGGGTTAAATTTGGGTTATAGAGGAACTGTATTTTGTAAGGTCTCTATGAATAGGAAGGGTGCTGACCTCAGAGCTTGTTCCAGCACCATTCCTTTTTTTTGAATGCTAAACTGAATCTGACATCCAGCTGTAATCGTATCTTGGTGACCAATGCTTGCACCAAAGCAAGGCATAATCTATTTTCCTGTGCCACAACTGGCTTTTCTGCAACGTCACAGTTGAGGGAGGATTTTGTAAACCAAAGTATTCCTGGACAAAAGGGAGTAGATTTCTGCCTTACTCTAACATGAATTTGTAGGATTGGACTATCCCTAAACTCTAAAATAAAAGTGATGAGGAATAATACTGTCTGTCACTGGACTGAGTCGGTCTCTGTATCAAAGGGCAGGAGGTACAGTGGCATTTGTTGTTATGAAGCGTAGCAGGATGTTTGTTCATAGGACTTCCTCTACACATATATCTAGTATATAAGAAGCAATACAGTTAAAAGGAAGAGAAAATCACAGAATCCAAACCAGCTTTTCTGACCCCTCTAACTACTAAAAATCATTCTCTGAAACTAGGTATTTGTCTGGTGTTTGAAATAAGGTCATGTACATGTGGAACTACTGCGATGTTTTGAAATGCTTATCAACACCTAACTTTTCAGTAAGGCTTATGTGTGTTTGGTGCACATTAGTGAAACAGAACACAAGTTTCTTGCCTCAGATCCAGTAATGTATGGTTGCTATTCATAACAGAGTGATGACATATGCTTCTGTCATGCTGTCTATGCTAATTTCTGTTGCACACTGCTGGTGTAAAAAATCTGATAAATCTTTCTGCATAAAATAGTTCTTAAATATATGACTGCCATCGGCACATAAGATGGAGCCTTTAAATTTGTGTTTATTTTTCAGTCTGACATTCTTGGGAAAGTACAGACATTTGAAAATTGAAGTAGATTGCAGTGGGTACTCAACCTGGTGTTCATGATGCAAACATCTAGTGCTACTTTGTAATTAGATGGATAAAAAGCGAAGGAGATCAAACGGTATAAAGCTGATTACTAGTATAAAGAGATAATTGTAGATAGTGAGAGGGTGCAATGAAATAACAATAATTACCCTACTCCCACACTGTGGATTTTATGGAGTATCTGATAAAACTGTCTGTTGAAATTTTCTGATTCTGAATGGTATATCAAAAATACCAGTAATTTTTAATGTTGGATTCTATAATACAATAGAATGTACAATTATTTTTACAGAGGGAAGGAGGTTTTTCCATGCTTTTATGGCCAAATGTGTTCTTACGTGGCTCTGGCCAGGCAAATGCCACAGCAGTGATTTTAGCCAGGAAAAGTACAGTCAGTTACCTGTGCAGTCTAGGAATTACTTTTGGAAGTTTTACTGTCCTGTCCTGTTCTTTTTTAATTTTTTTTAATTATTTTTTTTAAGGATATAGGGAGAAGGGAGGCAGGAGGAAGGAGGTTGAACTGACTTAATAGCATAATGACAAAAGATCATGGCTTTGTATTTTTGAAACATTTTTTTAAGGATTCAAAGTGCAAAGTAAACATAATTTAGTTTATATGAAGTTACGAATTTTTAGTGTTGCCCATAGTTCTATAGCTTGTTGAAAGACCTTTTCAGTGTTTTATTTTCTGGCTTTCCCTCTTATACGTCATGATTACTGCGATGGAGAAGCAGATGCTTTGTAATAACTTAGATGTAGATATTGGAGTGGTTACTGTTTGATTCTACCAGATTAACTATTTGGCTGTTTACTGTGTTAACTGTCTCCTTTCTTCCAGAGTGTTAGGTGCAGCTCTGGCCTCTAGGTAGTTCAGTGCATTGTACAATATAGTCTCACAATCTCTCTTCTGCTCCATGGCTCCACACGCCTCAGTCAGAAGCATCAAATATCTAGAGGTGAAAAGCCAGGCAGAAAGCACCAAGCTGCATCTTTTAGGACTTTACCTTCAAAGGTCTGTGATGTTATGGCTACTGCCTTCTGCAGTGGGGCCTTCATAATTGCCTGGTCCAGAGCCATGTCTTTCCTGTCACGTGAACTGAAACATTAAATATAGCTGATTGGCAGACCACCCATTTCAAGACTCAAACATTTTATTCCAACTGAAATAAAGAAACATTTTTCAAAATACAAGCATTTCATACATAATTAAAATCCTAGTTTTAGGCAAAAAATAATGGCTAAAAGTAATGTATACAGGCACTGTGACAAATCAGTTCCACATATTTTGGTAGCTACCAGCATTCTTTTCTTGCAATAATGATGATCAGTTAAATCTAGTGAATATTGAATACCTCAGTGTTAAATGGCTCTATCTGCTACCTGATATCCTCCCCTCCTGTTGCAGAAATGCTGTTCTGGCTATGTAATCTGTTATATAATGATTAGTGCTTATACAAGTACATGTCCTTTTCAGAGAAAACATGTGAATTGGAATAGATTTTGAGAGGTTGAAAGTAGTCTGGTGACTTGTATTTTCTGTCTGAAAAGATTTTCTTCTGTTGTTTTGTTTTTCTTTAATAGATGTATCAGCTTATAGCTTGACAGACACAGGAGTGTTGATGAGCCTATACATGCTATAGGCCTCATGAATGTGTTTATATATATTTAGAAGTTTCATCTAGGACACCCAAATTTTTTCACTCGAGAAAGCTTTTCCTTATCAATCAGTCAGGCTTTTCCCCATCAGTAGCAGAACCTATCATGGCTAAAGTCATTATTAGATTTCTTGTGAATTCCAAGAAAAGCTGTTCTATCATAATGATGTACTGGCATGTTTTATAAAGTTTTTTACATGGAAAAAAGCACTTCTTTTACACTGCATTGAGTAGCAAAACACTCACCTGTTGTTCAAGCTTCTGTCTTTTTTCCAATGTGATAGCACATACAAAACTGGACCTGTTGGCATTGGATGAATGCAAGAATGCTTTCCTCAAGTTTATTTCCTGAAGTTTATTTCCTCAAGATTATTTAAATCTTCTTTTGGTACTTGCTATTTTTTTTTTTAATTTATTTTTTTTTTTTCCCTTAAGCTAGAGAGCTTTTTCCTTGCTGGGAAAAAAAAAAAAAAAGGCAGACCAGCTGATTTAAAGGAAGGTGTTTTAATGATTGTTGTCTTCTGAATATTGAAAAGAATTGGAATGGAAGATACTTGAATATTCTTGCTTAAACTCTATTCTGAATTCCATTCTGTGGCTATATATGATCATCTCTTCCTCTGTGGTAAATTATGGTAGCCACAGTGACTACAATATACAATTTCAGTCAAATAATCTATGTTAATTATAACAACGCTTTTTTTCTAGTTTTAATAACTAAAAGAATAAATTATGTGGTAAATATTTCTTTTTCAAAGTGGCAACCTATCACAAGTGGGCTCCCCTAGGAATCAGTATTGGGCCCAACACTCTTTAATATAGAATCATAGAATCATAGAATCTTAGGGGCTGGAAGGGACCTCGAAAGATCATCTAGTCCAACCCCCCTGCCAGAGCAAGGTCACCTAGAGTACATCACACAGGAATGCATCCAGGTAGGTTTTGAATGTCTCCAGTGAAGGAGACTCCACACCCTCCCTGGGCAGCCTGTTCCAGTGCTCTGTCACTCTTACAGTAAAATTTTTTTTTCTGATATTCACCTTGAACCTCCTATGCTCCAATTTACACCCATTACCCCTTGTCCTATCACTGGTCATCACTGAGAAAAGCCTAACTCCGCCCCCCTGACACTCACCCCTTACATATTTGTAAACACTGATGAGGTCACCCCTCAGTCTCCTTTTCTCCAAGCTAAAGAGACCCAGCTCCCTCAGCCTTTCCTCATAAGGGAGATGTTCCACTCCCTTCATCATCTTTGTAGCTCTGCGCTGGACTCTTTCAAGCAGTTCCCTGTCCTTCTTGAACTGAGGGGCCCAGAACTGGACACAATACTCCAGATGTGGCCTCACCAATGCAGAATAGAGGGGGAGGAGAACCTCTCTTGACCTACTAACCACACCCTTTCTAATGCACCCCAGGATGCCATTGGCCTTCTTGGCCACAAGGGCACATTGCTGGCTCATGGTCATCCTCCTGTCTACCAGGACCCCCAGGTCCCTTTCACCTACACTGTTCTCCAGCAGGTCAGCCCCCAACCTGTACTGGTACATGGTGTTTTTCTTCCCCAGATGCAAAACTCTACACTTGCCCTTGTTGAACTTCATCAGGTTTCTCCCCGCCCGACTCTCCAGCCTGTCTAGGTCTCACTGAATGGCAGCACAGCCTTCTGGTGTGTCAGCCACTCCTCCCAGCTTAGTGTCATCAGCAAACTTGCTGAGGGTACATTCTGTACCCTCATCCAGGTCGTTGATGAAGATGTTGAACAACACCGGTCCCAGTACCGACCCCTGTGGGATTCCACTAGTCACACACCTCCAACCAGATTCTGCCCCATTGACTACAACTCTCTGACTCCTTCCTTTCAACTAGTTCCTAATCCACCTCACTACCTGATCACCAAACCCATACTTGATCAACTATCTACAAGGATGCTGTGATAAGTGATCTGGATGTTGGGATCAAGTGCACCCTGATGAAGTCTGCAGATGACACCAAGTTGTATGGGGAAGTAGACACTCCACAAAAGGAGAGCCACCCTCCAGGAAGACTTGGACAGACTGGAAGAGCAGACTAACAAGAACCTTATGAAGTTCAGTGGGGGCAAGTGTAAGGTAGGTCTTGCACCTGGGAATGCATAACCCAGGAGAGCAGCTCAGGATGGGATCCACCTGGCTGGAAAGCAGCCCTGTGGAGAGATGTAGCAGACTGTTCCATCTCTCAATG